CATTAGATTATGATAGTATACAGGATGCACTTGTAACTATGGTCAATCCGAATAATTATAACATAAATACATTTGATAATTACACTCCGATTCTTCCAGTTGCGTCAGCCACTGCCACAAGCTATTCTACTCAGCAATGTATTATTGAAGACTATACATTGAATAAAGAACAACAAGCTGCATTTCTGATAATAACGAATCATCTTGATGGTGACAAAGAACGTCATAAAGGTATTTTAATGTTCTATACGTATAATAATAAATCAAAATAATATATATATATAGGTACCAACAATGGTCAACTAATAATGTGCATACCTGGATGCGGCGGTACAGGTAAATCACAATTGATTCGTGCTGTCACCAAATACTTTCTTATTACAAAAAGAATGCAGATGATGCGAAAACTCGCACCCACTGGAATCGCTGCTGCTGAAATTGGCGGCATGACAATTCATTCATTTTTAGGGGAACAACGTAATTCAGGAAAGCCGCGCACCATCAAACCAGGTGATACAAAACTTGAAAACCAATGGAGACTGGTTGAATATCTCCTAGTTGATGAGATGAGTATGGTTGGTTTAACTCTACTTGGAAAACTCAATCGAATTATGTCCGCTGCCAAACATGCCGATCCTCAAATTCCATTTGGTAGCATAAACGTCATATTTTTTGGTGATTATTTACAGTATCGACCAGTATATGATGCACCGTTGTACACTGACTTTTCACAGCCCTCTAAAAACAAATCAGGTCAATCACGTAGTGAAAAAGAAATTCAACAACGCGCTGCACGTTCCCTGATACTTCAAATTAACTGTGTGATCAAACTTAGTCAACAGATGCGAACAGAAGATGAACGATACCTTGAATTACTCGAACGGCTTCGTCAAGGTAACTGTAATTTGCAAGATTATGAATTATTGTCAACACGGATCGTTGGTCAGCCATCGGTTAGTTCTCTTCGCGAATCACGATGGAACGAAGTAAATTCTTTTTTCTTTTTAGAATAATTTTTCATCGTTTTGATGTTTAGGCTCCCATTTTAGCATATCGAAATGAAGTACGAACACAATTAAACAACAAAGCAGCAGTTCACAATGCTGCACAACTAGGTCTTCAGCCAATGGTATGTGTCGCTCAAGATACCTGCAAAGGAAAACCAATTGAAGATCCTATACTGATGAAAAAATTATTGGAATTATCTGACAGCAAGACAGAACACTTACCTGGTTTGTTGCCATTTGTTCCTGGGATGCCAGTTATTTTAACGCAAAA